GTTCTGTTCGGTGACTGTCATTACTGCCGTTGATTCTGTTTGGTGACTGTCATTACTGCCGTTGGTTCTGTTTGGTGACTGTCATTTACTGCAGCAGGTTCTGTGTGGTAACTTTCATTACTGCCGTTGTTTCTGTTCGGTGACTGTCGTTACTGCCGTTGGTTCTGTTCGGTGACTGTCATTTACTGCAGCAGGTTCTGTGTGGTAACTTTCATTACTGCCGTTGGTTCTGTYCGGTGACTGTCATTACTGCCGTTGATTCCGTTTGGTGACTGCCATTACTGTCGTTGGTTCTGTTCGGTGACTGTCATTACTGCCGTTGATTCTGTTTGGTGACTCCATTACTGCAGCAGGTTCTGTTTGGTGACTCCATTACTGCCGTTGGTTCTGTTCGGTGACTGTCAATGCTTCACAATTCATTAATCGGTAAAGAAGCGATTTCTTGAACTGAGGCATGTGCAGTGCGTATATGATAGGATTAACGAGGGAGTTGCTTTAATGATGGAATTTAGATCCATACACGATGTGACGGCTATAGTGACATTTTCGACAAAGACTTGCATAACCTATAAGAGCTTGAAAGGGAAACCAAGCGATCGAGCTGATGACCGTGATAATCAAAAGCGTGACCGTCAGCCTCTTGTCACGTTCGTGGATTGGGTGATCTTGTACACTTGTCATGCAATTTATCTTAACCCATATAAGAAAATATGAGTTAATGAGAACGGCAAGAGACCCTAAAATTGGCACAGTTACGGCACAAATCATTAATGGTCCGCGAAGAAATGAAATAAAAACTGCAARAAAGGCCGCCATCATCCATATCACTGCTATACTGATCATGTACGCGCTTTTCCTAAGTGTAAGGTGTTTGAACGGGAAATATACGGCATACGCTCGTTCAATGGCCACGGCTGCCAAACCAAACAACGATGCCACTGCAAATAAAATATCTTGGATATCCAATATAGTTGTTGTGATACTTGTATGTTTCAGTAAGGACAATGTTAGATACATTGGCACCGAGGTAACTCCCACGAAGAGATCAGCCTCCGCCAGACTCACCAGTAGGAAATGCTTGCGCTTGCGCAGTGCGGGTGTACGAGTAAAGGCAACCAAGACAGTAACATTTCCTATTACTATGACAACTGATTCAAGGACAAAAAACCATAAATACCACATGGTCACGTGCTTAGATATACCTAATAAGGAAAAGATATGTATATATGTTACTTTATTAAAAGTTTTACTTTGCCCGTAGTTTTGTTTTCGTCTTTTTGTCTTTAGTTTTGTTTTGAATTTTATTCTTATTTCGTTTATTTTGCCCCACATGTTATCCCCATTATTAGTGTTATAGATCATTTTACTTCGAGCGTAATATTTTCCCATTTCATCCCCTGTCATTCTCTTGAGTATTATTGATTATCGTTCCTCCACTCCTCCACTCCGCCTCCTCCTCCTTCTCCTCCTCTGGATGAAATAATAGACTAGAACTATGAGTGAATGAAATTTTATAGCGTGTAGCCGGGTGGCTAAGCTATTGATAGCCGGATACCTTGATAGCTAATAGTTCTAGTTTGTTATTTCTTCCAGAGGAGGAGAGGAGGAGGAGAGAAGGAGGAGGAGGAGGAGGTGGTAATAGCTATTGATAGCCAAGAAGCTAAGCTATTGATAGCGTGATAGCCAAGAAGCTAATCTATTGATAGCCTGATAGCTAAGCAATTTAAATATATATAAACTTATTCATACTAATTTACTGAATATAAGTTCCTTTGGATATTGTCTGACTGAATTACCATCATTCAGATACTGAAGAACACCAAAGCGTTGGTCGAAAATTCTATGTAATTTTTTTTCCCGTGCTGTGATCAAATGTTTACAATATCCTCTAGCTCAGTCTCAAGCTGTTGTGCGCCACGTACCCCATGGAGTAAGCTTCAAAGTTATTCATACTTACGTAATGAATAAAGTTCCCGGCCTTGGGAGAGTTGTCTGAAAATTACTTTTACTTATGTACTGGAGAAGACCAAAGCGTTGGTGTAAATTCCAGGTAACTGAATTTTTTTTGTGTTTTGATCAAAAGGTTAACAACCCAACGCAGATGGATATCCATAAAGTGATCTGTCTGCAACGTGAATACCCAAATTCTATTAAGCCTTCAGGCATGATACTATAACTGAATCAATTCTAACCTATTCAAACTAGTTAGAGCTGTGCTCTGGGGTCATACAAGACCGTACATGGCCAGAAATCGCGGACATTTGAGCCCGCACATTGGTATGCGGCTTTCCCATGATAACATAGAAACTAATATGGCTGGCAGTCTCTATCCCGGTCTAAAAGCCTCGTTTCTAAGCTTTATTTTGGTACCAAACATGGCGGTTAAAAGAAATGAACAAAAGGAGGAAACGAGGATTTTTTCGCGCAAAATTAAGTTCTCATCAGCTAATTTCATGATCGAACGTTTCTAAAATAGCAGTTCTGTTCTTGGATCTTTAGTACAGAAAAGGAAGCGTTTAATTATATTCAATTTAACTGAAAATCGCTGTGTTTGTGGTACAATATGTGGGCTTCGAGGAATGAACTTGGAAAAATCTTTTTAGTGGAAGAAAGCATCGCTAGCTACAGTGAAAGTTTACTTCTCCGCGTATTTCCAACATGAAACACAAGGCTAAAGGGTACGTGGAAAGAGTGAAAAACATGCTAAAAAAGGACGCTTTCCGCAGTCTCGTGCAGATTTGACTTTCATACATTAGGACTATTGAAGAATTTCCTTCAGGAATCCGACTTGGAAATCGTCGCAGGTTTTCCAGGAAAAAACTTATTCCCAAAAGCAGCAGTAAGGGGGACTCGCGAAATCCGAATCACTAAGCATCGAATTTCACGGGTATTACCTGCGTTTCAGGCCCCTCTAAATGTATGCGTCGGCAGCGGGTATTACCCACGCGATGATTCCCTTACTGCTGCTGTGTTTGCGAAATCTATGTATTAAGTTAAAATATTCGTCTTATATACGATGCACGAATGTAAAGAGTTTGTTTGTCCGAGGTGTAATGGGAGTTTCATAAAGTGTGGCCTGATTTCCCATCTACGCAGGAAGGATCCCTGTGAGATCGTGACGACTTGTACGACAACGCGCGAGGAATACGTAAAGGAGTTGACAAGAAAGCCCGCGG